AGAGGCATGACGGATGTTATGTGGCAAAGAATTCCAATAGGAGACGGAGCGGGCTAAGAAGGAACGTTCATAGGTTTTTGTCCTGTGGAATGGAATATAGAGGTCAGAAACACGGGATCTCGTTTTTATTGAGTGGACTAAGGGTTTAGGCTGGAGGAGACAACAGATATAGGAAGGGTGCTGGGAGTTGATCGTTTGGTATAAGAAATTTCCAAGGAAGTATAGGCGGCGGGAAGATGGGAAGAGCCACTTTGACTCGGCATATAGGTGGGACACATGAGACCATCTCGAAGTGCCGAAGACGAATCTTAAAAAACAGTTCATGATTCTCTTCAGTCTGTCCTCAAGCTCCAACGAGAGGCCACCGTATACCACACAGCCATAGTCAAAGTAGGGGAAAATCAATGAGGAAACGAGAAGCCTGCGGATAGGTTGTGGGAGATGCTGACGAGAACGATGAAATAATTTAAGAGTACCAATAGACCTTCTGGAGATTTGAGCAATATGGGGTTTCCATGATAGGTTTTGATCAATGGTAATTCCTAAGTTTTTTACAGAGGAGGTGAAGCAGATTGGTTGGTCATTAATAATCAAGTAAGGATGGGTGTAAATAGATCTAAGGAGGGAGTTGGAACCTATAAGAATGGCCTGAGTTTTCGTTGCATTCAACTTTAATTTATTCAAGCTTGCCCAGGCACTTATCCTATCTAGGTCTCTCTGAATATTCGTAAACGCTTCTAATAACTCAGTGGGCGGAAAGGAAAAATAAATTTGGGAGTCATCAGCATATAGATGGTATGAACAATGGTGGATTGAACTAGGAAGGTCATTGATGTAAGAATTAAAAAGGATAGGAGAAATGCTTGAACCCTGGGCTACTCCATGAGACAAAGTGAGGAAAGAAGATAAGGGTTGATTCGGAATACTAACGGCTTGAGTCCTGTCAGAAAGAAAGGATTGGAACCATTGGATAGAACTATTGGAAAAGGATGATAGAGATTTTAATTTATTGAAGAGAATAGAATGGTCTAAGGAGTCGAATACTTTGGAGAAGTCCAGGAGTACTAATACAGTCAGTTTTCTTTCGTCAATTGCAGAATGTATGTCATTTGTAATTTTAGCTAAAGCGGATTGAGTGGAGAAGCCTAGGCGAAAGCCAGATTGGAGAGGATCTAAAAGTTTGAACTCTTCGAGATAATTGGAAATTTGGGATTGGACTATTCTTTCGAGGGGTTTTGACAGATTTGAGAGGATGGAGATTGGACGATAGTCTTTAGGAGAGGTGGGGTTAGGGATTTTATTAATAGGACGGACTAAGGCTTTTTTCCAGGATGTAGGAAAGACAGAATTTTGAAGGGAAAAGTTATAAATGAATAGAAGAACTGGAAGGATTTCAGGGAGGCATAATTTTAACAATTTGACAGGTATTCCGTCAATTCCTGTAGAATTGGATTGGGATTTCATTATGGAGGAAATAAGGTTCGTAGGAGTGATGTAGGAAAAATAAAAATTGTCACTATTAAATGCGGATGATACAGGAATATAAGAAGAGGCGGGAGAAATATTACTAGAGGAGGAGGATAAAAAGTAGGAATTTAAGGCATCAGGAGAGACTGGGACAGCTATGGAAGAAGATGATTTGCAAAGAGATAGCTTTCGGAGTAAATGCCATTTGGATTTAGAATCGGGAGCTGAGGAGAAGGCTTCATGAAAGTAATTGGTTTTCGCTTGCCTGATCGTTGTTTGCGTCAAGTTCCGGAGTACCCTGAACGCTTCGTAGTCATCTGCAAGCCTGGTTCTTCTAAAACGTCTACAGGCTGCCTCACGTCTCTTTTGCATATTTCGAATTTCTTGACGCATCCAAGGAGCAGGTTGGCGGCGGAATGTAGAGGTTTTAAGTGGGGCATGGGTATTGAGGATATGGAGGAGATTAGAAGTCAGGATATCTACCATGTTATCAATTGAGGAGCTGGTGTAAACATCATTCCAATTCAGGGTTTCAATATCGGGTAAGATGCTTTCACGGGTTAGGGAATTTATATTGCGGAAGGTTATGGTTTTAGGAAGGATCGCAGGGGTCTGGATATTGTATGATAGTTGGATGAGGTCATGTGAAGACAAGAAAGGAACAGGTTGTTGGGACGAGGACAAAAGGTTCTGCGCAGAATCGATGATAAACAGGTCCAGCCATGTATCAGACCAGCAAGTGTGATGCGTAGGAGCAAATGGCACTATAAAGAGGTTAAGGGAGTAGAAAAGGTTTTCCAGATAGTGTTTATCGTGGGAATCGGAAAGGAGATTGGCGTTAAAGTCACCGGAAACTATTATGTTACTATAAAATGGGGTAAATTTGTATAGGGTTGATTCGAAGGATGGGTCGAAAGGTACCAGAGGAGGGCGGTATACTACAACGTATAGGAGAAGATGGGCTTTAAAGGAAATTTCAACAAAAAGGTATTCCATGTGGGGACATTTGGAAGGGGGAGAGATATCTAGGGTTCAGGATTTTAGGCTATTATGGACGTAAAGACCCACACCACCACCCGTTCTTGTAATCCGGTCATGGCGGATAAAGGTGTGATCGGGTAAGGAAACGGAAGAGGAAGGTATGTGGGGTTTTAGCCATGTTTCGGAAACTGCAATAGTATGGTAAAAATTGCAGGTAAAATATCGTCGAAATGGGCTGGTAGGGATTGTGAATTAACATGACAAGAGGTCAGGATATTAGTCATGTTGGATAGGAAATAAAGGAATATGATGAAAGGCAGCTGAAATATAATGAATAAAATTTAAAAAGAAGCAAGTAATGGCTAAATACAAATAATAATAATAATATGCAGCAATGATAAAAAAGACTAAACATGATAAAATAAAATATTACGTCAGTTGTGCTAGAGAAAAAATAATGGTAAAACAGTAACATAATACGGCAAAGTGATTTATAGTATGCAAGGCTTAACATTTCCCAATTATGACCATCTAGTTGACGAATGTCGAACCGTCAGCAGAAAATGTCAAGATCTTGTGGCTGATCGATGTAGATCACCGGGTGTCCATCTTCTTTTCTACAACGAACTCTACCCCCCGCAAACCATAAGTATTTTAATTTGCCTGCTGCTCTCTTCTGACGGGCGAGCCAGTACAGACGTCTATTCATAGGAGACATTTCTTCGCCGAGATATATTCGGTGGGAGTCGTTTTCTTGCCAACCAATATCCCTAGTAGAAAAGTCCCTTTTTACCTTTCTTCTTTGCACCAAGTCGTCGCGTACAGACTGCCTCACAAAACGAGCAATGACGGGTGGTGGTCGGGGATCATCTTTTCTTGGTCTCCGTCGCTCCACAAAGTCGAGGTCCTCTGGGTTGATCTTAATCCCGAGGCCGGCTCCCACGCTGGCTACCAAGGCCGATGGAGTCTCTCCCGCACCTACCGGGATGCCACGAATTTCTATTGATCTACGAAGTAGACCTTGCTTGGCTTTGTTGACACGCACCTCAAGTTCACCTACTCTGGATTTCAGCATCTTATTTTCTGAGGTGAGTTCTTCTAGGCATTTCGCTTGGGCTTCGAGGTGTCCTTCTATTTTTGTGAACCTCTCATTCAACTCGAAACTGAGTTCACCATACTTCTCAAGCGACGTTTTTAAATTTTTTATATCTCCATTTACCTGTTCACCGAGCTTGTTGACGGCCAGGAGAATATCCGATGAGGAGGGTTCTCTGGTGTCGCTCTTGGATGGACTGGGTAACTTATCACTAGCTGGGGCAGCCTTTTTGCCCTGCTCACACTTTTTACATAGCCAAGCTTTTTTTTTGCAATTTTATAGCGTCAATCTCCTTTTCACTGTAATTGCAACATTTGCCGTGAAATATTACGCGGCATTTATTACAGCTTAAATTATATTTATCGTCTCTCACGATAGGGCCGTCACAAGTTGAGCATTGCACCATTTTGTTGACAGAAAAAAAAAATTTACTTACGTAACAAAAGTGTTGTTTATCAACTTAGGTGTGTTGATGGCCTTTAATACTCCCCGGCTTAAGGGAATTAGCTACTTCTCTTCTCTCCGCCGCAGCTGGTTAACAAACTTTCTTCTATGTATAATGATTCGTAAATACATATAAGACGCGACTATGGTGGATTAAAAACAAAAATACTATTGTGAGAAATTACTGTAAAAATTTTTAAGAAATAAGTTAGTTTATGTGAAAAATGAACGAGTTTCACAGGAATGATGTGAACTGTACGCCGTCTCTGGCCAGACTCATAATAATATATATTTATATTAAGATTAATATTGTTATTCTTAGAATATTATATAATATATTGTCTTATATATCAATTCAATTCATTACAATTGTCTTTATTATAAATATTATTTTTCTAACCATTGTATACCTTCAATCAAACTATGTTATATTTATATTGATTGGCACCTCTTGCTTAAGTTCATTTCATTACTAACCAATAATAAAAAATCTGTAACCATAAGAAACAGCGCAAATCTTGTACACATCTTGAATATTTATTCAGCCAATTATTTATATTCTACAAACAGAAATGTTACCTCCCTCGCTCCCTCCGAATATGTTTACCTACCTTTTGCGATCTGAAAAAGCTCAACTGGGAAATCCTCCCCCGACCCTTTCACTAACCTACCAAATGTGTCAGTACTTGAATACCTTCAGTGCTCGAACCACGGTTAGTAAGAGAAAATATTACAATTTTTATAAATGGATTATATACATTAGTTTTAGTTTGTATAACTGTATAACTTTTTACATATTTCAATTGTAATATTAATTAAGATTCACGTACCATCTATCACTATAGTTTATTATTAACCATTATCAGTCGTATAATATTATATCTCTGATTGTATTTAAAAATTTTCAGCCCTGATGATGACCCACATGTTTGGGTTGAAACGTCGGCACTAATAAAAACTTTATAATGACAGCATCCTGAATATTTATCACCCATAAACATTAAGTACATACCTTATTTCTAGGTGAGTTTGTGGATGAAAAGGCATCAACATTATAGGTATTTATTTCAAATGAACAAGATGTATCAGCCAAATTTACTTTATTTATTTTATTCCATGGACCACAAAGCTGAAAATAAATTAATAGAAAATTAAAAATAAATTAGTCAATGTTAAAGATATTGGAAAACATAACTAAGCATTAAAAATAAAAATAAAACAAAAATACTATTAATTGCCATTGGCTACTATAACCCTTCCTAAGCTAATGTGTATATGTTTCACCCTCAGTGATCAACACCCAAGCCTTAATGTTTTAAAAAACAAAATGACATTTTCTAGGCATGGGTTCCTAAAAATGATTAAAGCATCAGTTTCACAAGCACTTATGCAATCAGATTACTTTCTTTGCTAAAGGCAGGCTAGCTCTCCAAGTGGCCAGAAAAAAATGAGCTCAAACAACAAGATTAATCCTCACTAACTTTTCTCTCAGAAAATTAACTAAACTAGTAATATTTTTCTCTTTTTATGACCCACTAATGATGTGGAGTCAGCAACAGGTTTTATTATTAATTAGATAAAATATTTATAACTTTAAAACATTACTTTGCAAATAAAAAGGAATTGTTCTCTTTTTAATATTATACATTTTTTTATTTTACATTATTTTCTTCACACCGAGTGCTTTAGAGTAGAAAAAAGTTAATATAATTCATATAGAAATAAATACAAAATTAGAATGGAGGGATTATATATTATCTACACAACTAAATTATTAACATGTTAGTATATAAAGGGCAGAGATGGGCATATTTATATTCAAAAATATAAAAACGAATACCATTTATATTTATGGCGCTTTTATATTCATAAAAAGAAACATGTATACAGATGATACGTATTCACAGCTGTAAATATAAATACGACTGTATTCACCATTTTTAAAGTGAATACGGCTGTATTTATAGTTGTACAAGTGAATACGGCTGTATTCACATTTATCAAAATAAATAAATACGCTTAAATTTACAGAAGTGAATGGAAATATTTTCACACAATCTTATGAATGAATATTCTTATTTATTGAATAAATTTTAATTTATTTGTTACTTTAGGTATTTTCCAAAATAAAACAAGAAATTATGCGAAAATTAAAATAAAGTTCTGGACAGTAAGGGGTTTATTAAATAAATCTCTTAAATAATGTTAAAAAGTTGGTATTTTCTAACTCAAAATGATGTATACATAAACGTTTAATTTTATTAAACATAAAATTATAATTATGTATATGATAAGATCTTAGAAGGTTTCTAATTATATAAACTAAAATCAATCAAGGAAATTGGAAAAGTCGACTAGATGACAAAGGTAATGCCTAGATATACCTATGTATTTTAGCACGCTCTATGTTCCTATTATAGAAATTTTATGATTAATTCATGACATTATTGAAGGAAGCTAGTCGACTGTTCTACATACCATGGGTGATAAATATTCAGGAAGCACTCTTTTTAAAAAAAAATTATTTTTTTATATTTGTGCCAACGTTTCAACCCAAACATGTGGGTCATCTCCAACGTGACCCCACACCATCGCTCACAACCAAATTCAACCAACAACTTCTCGATACTAAAGAAATTAAAATCCCTACCTATAGAAATCTCATTTCTTATAATTCCACTGCTCCCAGGTGCTACGGCTTACCGAAAATCCATAAATCAGGCAATCCTCTCCGACCTATTATTTCCGACATTAACTCTCCATCTTCTAAACTCAGTAAATTTCTTCTCTCTGCCATCCAGTCTCTCAGTCAAAACAATCCATATGACATTAATTCCTTCCACTTATTACATCAACTAAAATCCTTGAACATACCACCATATTTCATTTTGGTCTCCTTTGATGCAGAAAGTCTCTTCACCAATATTCTCACAGACCATGGAAAATTGGTCCACCGTAAAACCACACACTTCCTTCAATCAATCCTCATTCCTTCAGTCGCTCTCTCTATGTTGTAACTCCGATTACCTATGTGTTCAAAACAAAATTTTTTCATCAAACTTCCGGCTTGGCGATGGGTAATTGTCTTGCACCAGACCTCTCTAGTGTTGTAAGATTCATGTATCATCTATCACTATAGTTTATTATTAACCATTATCGGTCGTATAATATTATATCTCTGATTGTATTTCAAAATGTTCAGCCCTGAAGACGACCTACATGTTTGGGTTGAAACGTTGGTACAAATAAAAAATTTTAAAAAGATTGCGTCCTGAATATTTATCATCCAATTCATGACATTGTTTAATTTTTGGGTGAAGATTTTATTTCATTTCTGGTAACAAATGTGAAGTGATGAGTTCATCTCACTGACTCAAACCTTTAAATACAAATAAAACTATGAAACATACACAGTTGGTTTGTTAACATATTTTCAAACACAACCATACAAACACAAAAAAAAGATATTTACCATATATATCATTTTGTTTTTATATATAGTATTATATTCTTCGTTTTACTATATGTTATTTTAATTATGTTACAATGTATTTTGTTATGTTAATTATCACTCGTAATACTTGTATGTAATATTAACTCCCGAAACCTTTTTTTGGAAGTATCCATCACCCCTCTATCCCCCCTACCAGAATGGAAAATCTGCGTCTTTGGTCCTTTCGGTGCACTGTTTACTTAAGGATGGCAGATGGCAATAAAGATAGCCTTTATGAAGGTCAGGGTACGCACAACAGTCAGAACAATACCCTGGAAATTCCAGCAGGGAAGACGGGTACAGCGCAGCAACCTTTGGATGAAACTGGGGAAGGAGCAAGGGCAGTCAAATTTAGATAGTGATCTTTCCGGACCTGCCGTTCAGTAAAGTAATAAAATAAAAGTTAGTAATAAAGGTGTGACCATATGTGTTAAGTTTTTCATTTAGAACAATGTATGAAATTGATCTGAAACTGAGTCTGTTTCTTTCGCACAGGCTCTTGTAGTCTGGATCAGGATTTTGATTTTAGTGAGTATTTTCAAGACAGTACCGGCTCTTTAAGAAAATTAAGGTTCTCTGTAAGAGTTGCGTTGAATGGGACTTTCTTTAAACCATTAAGTAATGATATAGAAGTGATTTCACACATAAATTTAATTCAGTTCGTATTTTATGTTTAAAATGTCCGGTGTAATTGATAAGTGACTTCAGCACGAAGTGATTAATTATTTTTACAAGAAGACAATTTTTTTTAGTTTAAGCACTTAAAAATGTAACATTTAACAGAGTAAGTTCCAAATATATTAATTAATGTAATAAAATGTATTACAATTTTATTTTTTACTAAAAAAATTGTAGAAAGTGAATAAACGACAATTTATGATACTTTTATTTTGTTACATATTATTTTATTTTATTTATTATTATTATTATTTTTAACATTTGCGAATGTGTATATATGTTTATATATATATATATATATATATATATATATATATATATATATATATACATGTAAAGAAGCTTCAGGTTCTAACTAATTCCCACCTTTGGGTTAATCATTTAATTCATGCATTTAAAATGTGATGTTGGATGAAGATAACCCTGTGTTGCGGTTTGCAATTGTTTCAGATTATTAAGTGTTTAGTGTCGTGTTTTATTGTACTTAAAAATTATAAAAACTGATTTTGTTTTGTAGGTAGGAATAGTTTTAAGATTTAATGTATTATTTCATTTGAAATTGTAATTAATAAAGATCTTATTTTGTAGAAGCAAAAGCACTGTAATAGTTTATCTACAGTTAACACTAAACAAGATTATTTTATTGTCATGATTATTAAAAATGATGTCTCCCTGAAATCCTCCCAGTTCTCCTTTTCATCTACAATTTCTCCCTGCAGAACTCAATATTCCCTTCCTCTTGGAAAAAAAGCCATTGTACTCCCTTTAAATAAAAAGCCTAATCCATCCTCTCCCGAAGACTTTCGCCCAATCTCAATTCTTTCCAATCTCTCAAAAGCCCTAGAAAGATTGGTGCAATCCCAAGTTTCCAATTTCCTCGAAAAGTCCAACCAACTTGATCCTCTCCAATCTGGTTTCCGTCCCGGCTACTCCACACAATCCGCCTTAATCAAAATTACCAATGATGTTCAGACTGCAATAGATAATAAACAATTAACTGTCCTTGTACTTCTTGACTTCTCTAAAGCCTTCGATTCCATCAACCATCCCATCCTTTTCAACAAACTAAAATCACTTTCCTTCTCCGATAGCTCCATCTCTTGGCTCCAATCTTTTCTCTCACAACGCACCCAAGCAGTCTCCATTCCTAATCAACCACTATCTGCTTATTTTCCTTTATCCTCTGGAGTTGCCCAAGGATCAAGCATATCTCTTCTCCTTTTTAGTTCCTATATTAATGACCTTCATGACTCAATTCTCCATTGTTCCCACCACCTTTATGCAGACGATTCTCAAATATACCCATCCTTTTCTCTCCCTGAGCTATTGGTAGCATTTACTAAGATCCAAGCAGACCTAGATTGAATCTGTGCCTGGGCAAACTTAAACGGATTAAGGTTAAATGCTTCAAAAACTCAGGTCATTGTCATTGGTTCCAAGCCTCTCCTTAGATCCTATAGTGACTTTCCCAACTAAACCTTGGTGACCAGCCAATCTCCTTCTACTCCTCTGTAAAAAATTTAGGACTATTTATTGACCAAACCCTCTCATGGAATCACCATATTTCTCACATCTCCCGACAGACAATTTCTACCCTCAAACTATTCCATCCCCTACCTCAACGTAGACTCCTCGTTTCCTCTCTCATCTTCTCCCACTTTGACAACAGCTGTGTGGTGTATGATGGACTCTCGGTGGAGCTCCATGACAGACTGAAAAGATTAATGAACAGTTGCGTGAGATTTGTAATCGGTGCCCCGAGATATTACCATGTCTCTCACCACTACACTGAGTTAGAGTGGCTCTTCCCTTCCATTCGAAGACAATATTTCCTAGGTACATTCCTCTATCATATCATCAACAATCATCTTCCTTCCTACGCCTACAACCTTCCCCAATTCAAGTCCTCAATCCACTCCCTCTCCACAAGATCTCGACCTTCACATTCCTTCTCACAG